CGGACGCCCGGACGGACGCCCGGACGGACGATCATGCGATTCTACAAGCTGCATCTGACTATGTCAGATGAGCTAATAAAGACTGATTTACGAAATGGACGTGTTCCTATCTATGATGGGACTCATTGACTGGTGAAGCCGCTTCTATCGCTTGACAACTCCCTGAACTCCCAACACGATGCCGGTTATTGACTGCCCCATCAACGAGTGCGAATACGCCACCCCGGACGTCGACGCGATCGTGGCAGCAGCTCTCATAACGACTCACGCCATCATCCATAACGCGACCACCCACAGTGTCCCCACTGCGAAGGTGGGAAGGGTGAAACGACCAACTATATCTTCCGCCGGCACCAGCGAAGTCTGGTCCTACTTGATATCGCGATGGAATGACTATGTCGAAGCGACTAAAGTGTTAGGCAAGGACAAGGTGATCCAATTACTGGAGTGTTGTGATGAACCCTTAAGGAAAGACCTCACACGCAATGCCGGTGGCACGTTGGCAAACAAATCTGAAAGCGACGTATTGAAAGACATTAAAACACTTGCTGTAAGGGAAGAAAACACCATGGTTGCACGGGTTACCCTGCATAACATGCGCCAGGACCGAGACGAACCAATCCGTTCATTCGGCGCTCGCCTCCGTGGTCAAGCTGGGGTATGCAAGTTCATCATAACGTGTCCTGGTTGTTCAGACGACGTGAACTACACAGCTAGAGGCTGTACTCCGTGATGTGTTGACACGAGGCCTGGAGGACACCGAAATACAACTTGACCTACTCGGGGACAAGAACCAGGAAAGGACCCTTGAAGAGGTGTTTCAATTTGTTGAGGCGAAAGAATCGGGCAAACGCTCGGCCTCGCGTCTCATCAACCCACACACTAATGGTGCCGAAGCAGTCAGCAGTTATAAACGTGGCATGAACGATTCTCTAAAAGATCGCAGTAGGTATGACAATACGAAAATTGACAAGTCAGAATTGTGCTCATACTGCGGTAAAAAAGGCCACGGCGTCCGTAACCTCGCCAAGGTTAGACAGAAGGAATGCCCTGCGTATGGCCACACATGCCAACACTGTGACAAGAACCACGACTTTGACAGCATGTGCAGAGGCAGGAACATGGCTAAGTACAAGACAATGGCAAAGTCATTGGATGAACACGAAGGTGCGGTATTCGACCAATTGTGCTCAATCACTACTCCTGCTCGACACAACAGTGGAAATATAACTCTCGACCACCACCTTTACAACCAACTATCAGACATTTGGATAAAGCGAAAGTCCAAACCTCAGCCGTTTGTTAACCTCACAGTGGGAGCACACCCAGAAGACTACAAACGTCTTGGTCTCAAGCTCACATCCACACCCAGGTCGGTCGTCATTCTTTCAATGGCCGACACTGGTTGCCAAAGTTGCCTGGCGAGTATCAAGGTCATCAATCTGCTCGGTCTAAGTGAGGCCGACCTCCTCCCAGTGACATTGCGGATGAATGCAGCCAACAACATCTTGGGCGCAGCAATCCTACGTTTTTCTGGCAAAGACACATCTGGCAATACGCTTGAGACACGCCAAGTTACGTACATCACTGATAACTCAGACAAACTCTTCATCAGCAGAGAAGCTTGCATTCGCCATGATCAGGCGGCACATTCTGGTAGTGATGACCACCTAGCTCGCGACGAAAATGACAGCGGGCTCGCGACCGTGTGAATGTCCTCGACGCCAGCTGCCGCCCCCACCACCGTCGAATCTACCATTTCCAGCAACCAAAATTCAAATTATTATGCGACCGAGCGGAGGGCTATAGTTCTAGAGCTAGGACTAGACTATCTACATCGTTAATTGATGAGCCGGCAAAACACCACGAAAACGCACACTAATAGACAGCAGACATCACAAATAATTGTACAGTCACAAACACGGAACACCCACACTCTGGTTCCCAGGGAGCCACCCTGCTAGGAACCCGAGGGTCCGGTGCCACCGCTACAATTGATATCTCTCTCCTCTCGCTCTCTCACTCTCTTCTATCTCTCTCCTCTCTTGCTCTCTCACTCTCCTTTTTCCTCTCTCTGCTCTCTGCTCTCTCTCTCCCTCTCCTGCTGTATACAATGCGCCAGTACACACATGCACGTCATGTACTGCACGCACACACGCACGCACGGATATACCCGCATATAATCGCATATACACCGTTTCAACATCTCGGGCGCAAACATACACGTGTGTGTAGCTAGCAAAATATTTCTATGAATAATTATGAATACAGCGGACAATCAATATTCATTTTATAACTTATTTTATTTAATAGGATCTCAACTATACGTGTATTTCACGCAAACGTAATAACTATTAGAACCTGTTAAACCTGATATGTGAACAAACTGTCCCTGCATAGATCTATTACCCATACATGTCAACCTATACGGAATATCCGTAAGTTTTACGGATTTTCACCCATTTATATTGCTTACGGGCGTACACATAAAATCATACGGATTATAAACAAACTTGGCTCAAAATTTATTGCGTGCTGTTTTGTTTAGAGAACGAACACGAACGGTTTGTTAGATAACGCATGAACACGATGTACACACAAGTAAAGAGACCAAAGAACATCAACCGGATTTGTAGATCCTAAAGATTTCTTATGGATTTTATGGATTTTTCCAGAAGGCTATACAGGTGGGCATCCGAAGGGGTTGACATGTATGGAGTACATACAATACTCTACTGCAGTAGCTTAAATAAGTATATGAACACGCTGCTACTCTAGACACCCAGAAGCTATTTTGGTCCCGGGAATTACGGTGAGGTAATCATACCAAGTACATCTAGTTCTATGTTGATGCTACGTGTTGACCAGTATTTCTACGAACCATTTAATTAGTGCTTTTTAGTATTGCAGTTTGCAACTTTGCATACTATAATACTAAAAGCATCATATCTAGAGATATGACAGTTGCAATCACCTGTGAAGACCATTTCCAAGATGGCTGCCACAGTATGCATAATTTCAAGAGCTCATAATAGAGATTCTCTATTACAAGCTCTTGATAATTTCTATCGCATAGATTTGTCATGAACTGCAACACACTATCTCGTCGTTAAATATCTCCATCAATATTCCCGCCAAATGTAGTTTGCGCATGTGTGTACTACCACAGATTTACACACCTATGTCCACGCATATGCTGGTATAATACAATAATTCCTAATCATCTTTATGTGGGACTGAGCAAGTTCAGATCTGACAAATTTACCCTGATGAGGCTTGCATCCTCAAACTGAGACAGTGCATAGAATTACAGTTATCACAACTAACTACGATCATATAATCTGGTGAGAACATATGGTACCAACTACTCGCTGCCACTCATAATCAGTGAGCTGATTTAATAATACTGTCACCACTTCAGTTCCTAAAAAACAACTAATATCGATAAGTGATTAGGAATTAACTATCGATAAATTAATCACAACAACACGAGGGTAGAGGGACATTAAACTTAACATACAACAATTGCATTTTGCTATATACATCTATCAAATTGTGCACATGATAACAATCGCATATCTAAAAAAGAGCAATCAATGAATACCATGCAATTCCAGTCATGTGTAATAGAGATCAAATGCAACACGGTATCAAAACTTACTTCACACATTAAAAATATAAACATCATTATTGTCCGCTTATTATATAAAATTTAATTGCACACTTCCTACACAATTTAGTTATAAAACAAAATTTACAAAATTTAAAATGAACAAAAAAACCCCAACATTTCTTCCTTTCTACAGCTTTCTACAACATTAGGCATAGATTCTATTCGCTTCAGGACAAAAATATCTGCGCGTGAATATAAGCACTCACATTCTCGCTTCCACCAGCCAAGATGAACCACGACAAACTCGGGCAGTTACTCAGTACGCAGTTAAGCTGCGTTTACACTATCGATTTTTGTCAGCAAATCGTCCGAGTCGTGCACAATACGAACACGTTCTATTTCTCCAACTCGGCGACTTGACTCCGACTCCGACTCTAACACAATCGAATTTCAGCCGATTAGTTGGAATGCACTTGGGTCAAGTCGGGGGCAAGTTGGAATACACTTGAAATCGGTACGATTTGCTGACAAAAATCGATAGTGTAAACGCAGCTTAACAGAACTCAGTGACAACCAGCGAAGCGACGAGCGATCGCTACAGACGGATCATGACGGTGATGTTGACGACGCCCATCGAACTGTTGATGACCTGCTTCGCTACTTGCTGGTGGGGCAGCTGCACAACCTTCTCTCCGTTCACTTCGTAAAGGTACTGCTTGACCTGTGGTAACACGATAAAATCGGGCTAGAAGAAGAGAAATGGCCATATACCACCGTGCAGTGCCAGTCACGCAATAAATATTCAAAGCAACGTTGTAACAAAACTTACTCCACACATTCAAAATTTAATCCAGAAAACAAGAGTATTTTCACTCGACGAGAACAGATAAAATCTAGATCTGACCATTGGCCGAAAGACTCACCCTCAAGCCAGCTTCATATCCAGGTCCCTTTGGGTCAACCGTCTGCACAAACGTAGGCCCATCACCACGGATCACAAAGCCATATCCTACAGAGTCGCTGATAATCTAGACGGTAAAAGGAAATCTCTCCTAGCAATCATAGAACTAGTGGAATGGACTTGATATAGACAACCAGAGTTGTAGACGAAACAGCAGACAGCACTGTTAAAATGATAAGCCACTAACTCGTAATTAAATGCAGATGGCAATGAACCAACGATGCATGCTTTGTGAAACAGAGATTGAGCTTGTGTTAGCATGGATTAGTGAAGAGCAAATAGTTACTTTAATGTTCTTCTTGAGGTATAGAGTCGAAGAGCTCTCTAGTTCCTGAGCACTCACTATCTTCATCACTATAATTATGAGAAAATGCCTATTAATGCAATTCCAACTCACTTCAATTCATAATTTGAGATTACAAATTGCCTACATGACCGTCTTACGTATCACGCATTGTGCTGGCATATAATAAGGAATAATACCAATCACAATCAGAAGAAGCCCTTGGAAATAATTCACTAAAAAGAGAACTTACCATATTTTGGCAAAACAGAGCCTTTGGTCCTGGCTTTTCTTGTTGGTACAGTGCTAGGAAACTTGTCGGTCTCGCCCTCTTCAGTATCATCAGTGCTGTAATCATCACCATCACTTTCATCACCGCATGAGCTATAGCACTCAATGTTCCTTGCCGATGCTGATTTTGGAAATGCAAACCTCGCAGAACCTAACAAAAAGCAAACGGTCATCATGCTGCTTATTTGCAAACACTGTAATTTGTAAACTCGTAACATACACAGTTGGGCAGGTAATAAGATAGATCAGTGCGAGCAACAACAAAGATTTCAACAGCAGCAACTAATACATGACGAGTTACACAGGCTAGAGAGAGACACATATAAAAGCATAAAAAAATATATATAATGTGCCAGTCCTTAGATTTGTATATTATATAACGTCTGTGTGATATGATCAAGGATACTCCAGTAAGATAGAGCCTGAGAAGCAGCAAATTCATAGCTTACTAATAATAAAAACAGCATATTAACACATTAATTGTATATCATTATTATCTGATCAGAAATGCAGCCACGTGTCGAGAAATGAAAAAAGAACAGAATATTTTCCCGTATGGGCCTATTCGGCTACACACCCGCTTGTTGATAATTGAAGAACGGAAAGGACGGCATAGCGGATATTTTTCTCCGTCTCTCTCCCTCCGGGGCAACCAGATTCTCGGGGAGGGACAACTTGCGAGTTCTCCTCTGGGGAGGCACGGATTGGGTCCTCTCCGGAGAGGGAAACATTCTTGTCTGCCTACTGTCAGGACTCTGGCTGTTTTTCCTCGCAGCAGGCTCATTCCCTGTGCGGATAAAGAACTACTGCTGATACAGTAGCACTATACAAAATTTGACATTGATGGAATAGCAGTTGCTTCAACAACTCATTATTGATGACAAGTGGAGGAAGGATCTGAGCATTTGCTTGCATGCATAGAAACGCTAATGCTGCTTTTCTCTAATCTAAGGAAAGTAAAAACTACGCCTTTTAAGTTATTTTTATGCATACATTAAATAATATGACAATTACTCCACCCTAGTAAAGGTAGTTAGTAGTTGTCCAGTACTTTAAAACAGACCTTAATTAGTCTTTAGCTTAGAGAGAATATGCCAAACTGTATAGACAACTAGACGAAAAGCTAGATTAATAAATAATATCAGACCCATTGCCAATGCTCATTCTTCATGCTGTCCCAATGTCTCACCATTGTCTGAGCTAAATAAGAAGCTGCCCAAAGAAATCTGTGAGATTTTCCTCAGCGTTGACTCTGTGGTTCTAGTCTCAGATGCGCCGTCCAGCTCCTTAAAATTCAGCGTGCCTCTCAGTGAATACCGGCTCACAATGTCCGAGTGGCGTATATGTTTCTTCAGGTTGACGCTAAATTGATACAGGAGGTTGTCGTCCTTTAGATGATGCTGATGTGTAACTGCAGCAGCAGAAAAATACGTGCCTTTCATCTATCCGTAGGACTTCACACAAAAATTACTGGCGCTAGTGTGCTTGTGAGTAAATGTTTTAAAATTGTGCAACGCGTAACATATCTAGGTTGCATATGTACACAAACAAAGTTATGATGATTTCTTCACGCTTTTATAGGACATAGCCATCTTTCTGAATAAGATACGTTCAGAGGTGTTCATGGGTTTTGCACTAGGGGTAGTTAACCATCCTTACCGTGGTGTATGACATTACTAGCGAGGAGAGACCTGCAGTCGGTTAGAGCTTGATGTCGGTTCATCACCATGTGCTCGATTACCATCCAGTCTAGCAGGCCTTGTCCAGAGAACGAGTTCTCATAGCTAACACCGTTCTCCTCATGCACCCTCAACACACGATTAGGCTCCGTAACCAACCTGTAGGCAGAACAACGATATTATTATGTGCAGGCGCACATTCAGGCAACACCATGATATCACAATTTTTTACCCATTTTTGGAATTTTAAAGCAGAATGCAGTATTCCTTAACAAGTGCCGCAGAGCGACAGCGCTCATCTAACGTCTACTGCGGTGACTCTGTGGTGGAGTGGTGGGATTCTAGTAAACCCTGTTAGTTAGGAGAGTCGATAGAGGACAGGCTGTAGTCAGCATTGTGGATAAATGAACCTGCAGTCGAAGTGAATTGTAATCCGCTAATATCGTGTGTGCGTGGCATCACTGTACATTACCGTATGTGTGTGAGAGCGAGAGAGGAGCCGAGAGGAGAGGAGGGTCGATGGGGAACAGGCTGTCGTCAGCATTGTGGATAAATTAACTTACAGAAATGAATTGTAACATGCTAATACCGTCTGTTTCAGTTTAACTTCAATGAGTTCATGATGGCGTGGAAGCAGGCTGTCCCCGAAGGGATGACGACTAGTCTGAATCAAATACAGGTTAGCATCGACTGCAGTTGTCATTTTTGCAAACGTTTTGTTTAAGGCCGTGGCTACGCGTCCGGTTACCGGACGCCCAGCCCTCCAGGCTATGTGTCCGGTCATATATTTCTTATGTGAACTATATTTTTTCAGTAAAACACCAATAAACAATAAGTTTTTTAATATAATATTACTTACCTTTAGGTATTTTATCAAAAAAATGTGTTTTGTAACTTTTGAAGCAATAGTAAATCCTGTAAAGT